CCCCTTGCCCACCTCTCGCAGCTCCTGCTCCCCCAGCCCTGCTGGAGGGAGCCCTCAGCTGCCAGGGCTTGCAGCCCCTGCCCCCACTCTTCCCTGCTGCCTTCTGCAGGCTGGACGGGGGCACTGGCTTCCTGCCACTGCACACACTCCTGGGGAGCAGGGGAGACCCTCACCTCCCAGTTCTGTATTTAGGGCAGGTGCAGGTTGTGGGCTCAGGCTGCCGCTCAGCTTCCCTCCCCTGGGACCTCCGCAGCCCAGCAGGCACGACCTGGCCAGCAGGGTACAGTGGGGCTGTGCGAGGATCTCCTTGCCACTGTGAGCTCCACACTGCCCTGGCAATGCAATCCCTGTGCGTACTGCTGCTTTGAAGGGTGCAACCCTGCGCTGCTGCCCTCACTGCAGCCCTGGAAGCAGAAGGCGCATCACAAGGGCAGCGTGGAGCTCACAGTGGTGAGGAGATCCTTGCACGGCCCCGCTGTGCCCTGCTGCACCAGGGAAAGACATGGAGTGCCTGCCCAGTCAGTGGCATGTAGACCCAGAGTGGCATGCTATTGGCCTAAGCGGGTTCTATGCTTCCCTGTGTGGTTTCCCTGAAGGGCCAGTAGCATGCCGCTCCCTGTCCATGTGCCACCGGGCAGGTGGGCACTCCATGTCTTTCCCCAACACTTCCCCGCTCCCTCAGCCAGCTTCCCATAGGAGTGCCCACCCAGCTGGCAGCATGTGGACCTGGAGTGGCGTGCTATTGGCTCTTCAGGGAAGCTGCACAGGGAAGTGCGAAGCTCGCTTGGGCTGACAGCATGCCGCTTCTGGTCCATGTGCCCCTGGTGGGCACTCCATGTGGGGCTTTCCCCAACACCTCTCCACTCCCTCAACTCCACACCTATGCCCTGTCCCCCACCTGCCCCACTGGCTCTTCCCTCAGCCCTGGCAGTCACCCACGCCCACACCTGCAACCCAGAACCCCCCCCCCAGCCCTACCAGTGCCCCCCCAGCCATGCCCCCCAACACCCCAGCCCTGCCAGAGGGGACCCCAAGCCCCCTGCAGGCCCCACATACCTTAGGCTCCAGGAATGAACAGTGAGCCTGAGCCAAGCCTTGGGTAACTGAGAGCCTCAGGCCTTGCCCTCTCCCCCTCTCCCTCCTCCTCAGGACAGGGTTGGGGGTTTCCCAGCTTCTTTGCAAGAAGCTCTTTCAGGCTGGAACTCTGCCCACTGCAGAGCTCTTTGCAAAAGTGGGAAATCTGCGGGTATCTCTGCTAAAAGGGAAAATCTGTTTTTTCTCTGATAAAGTCGGGAAATCTGTGGTTTTCTCTGTTTTTCCATGGGAAACGGAAAACTCGGATCCCTGGTCATGGGACATATCTAGATTGGCTGTTGATTTGATCAGGATCCTACCTGTGTATCATACAATGAATCCATTTTGCCACAGATGTGGGGTAAATCAGTGGCCCATCAATTTTCTTTTCCTTGAGTCTTGCATGTTCCCATTATTCCCAGAGGAAATTTTGATGAATCTTGAACACACAGAGCACATGCTGGAAATATATTTTCCAGATGGCTTGAAAAATGTCTTCCCAAGCTGCTCTCCTCTTCCTGCCAAGGGCCAGTTCAGTATTACAATGCTTCCCACACCAGGCTAACTTGAATACCAGGATATTTGTATCTTAAGTCTGTACTGAAACTTCTAGCCTTTGCTTAGATGCAAGGGGTTTTATTGCATCTGGGAGCATAGTCCTGCTATTTCCCCCTGGTTACACCCTGTTATTTTCTACCTAAGTTGAAGCTTCCTGTGCTTTGCTCAGCATCTCTGAGCTCAGCAGCGGATCCCACTGACCTGCTTCCCCAGTTCCTAGGGGTGCTTTGATTATTTTCTCCCTAACAGTGTCCTGCACAGAGGGAAATTTTTGGCACCATGAACCATCCCTTTATTAAATTTGCTATTTATTGTCTGCCTCCTACTGTGTAGCATAGTCCTGCTGTCTGAAGAGGGCCTTCTATATTCAATAAATTGCTCTAATCCTGCTCTAGAACCTGTTCTCATCACTAATTTCTCCCCAGCAGAACTTGTAGGCCTGAATGTGACTACTAGTTGAAGGGCATGAAAACCTGGGCCAGATCCAGGCATTTCTCAGCCTCTCTAAGCACCATATCCATCATCAAGGTGCTTCTGACATTTTCAAGCCCATCACTCTGCTGCCTCCTGTGGGTTCCTGAGTTCCCTAGGTGCCCAAGCTTCTGCCAGCTGCTATTTGCAGAGCAGCTCACACACTCGTCTGCCCCTGCAGCTGATGCTCAAGTCAAAGCCCTGGAGGCTCCAGTGCACGATCCTCAAACAAGGGAAGGGAATCCTGTGTCACCAGCAGGGCTTGATCCATCCATGTGCTCAGAGCACACCTCACACCTGATGCCTGCCAGCTATACAGGGCCCAGCAGAGAGAAGGGCCTATCACTAACCCATCAGCGCAGTATACCAGGTCAACCACATGACACTCACTGCAGCTCATGGAGACATACCTCAATCAGCTGGAAGCCAGCTAGCTGGTATATGGAGCCCAGCACATGTTGTCTGCCTAATGCAGTGGTGAGCAGGTATTTCGGCTGGAGAGCCACTGAATGAGTTTTGGTGAGCTATCCAGGGCCACATGGGTAGCCCCACCCCCTGACAGTTGCCCAACCCCTAGTCACCATATTGGGACCAGAAGTCCTGCCCCCTAACCCCTGATCTTTGCCACTAGAAGTCCCTCCTCTTGCCCCCAGTAAACATTCCTTTTGCGAGGGAAGGGTTGCCATCTTAGAACCAGAAAAAAAACCAAATCATACACTAAAAGTCAAAAACTTACTATAACATATTCTAATTTTATTACAAAAAATATTTGTCATGATTTGTGTTTGTGTACTGTATATAGAAGGGATTGCATCACAACTCAAAAATAAAGTCTTACTTCTGTATATTGTGTGTGTGTGTATGGTGGGGTGTAGGGGTGTGTGGTTGTGTGTGGGGGAAATGTGTGCTGGGGTTTGTGTCTAGGTCAGTGGAGGGAGTGGGGACTCCCCACACACTCCCCCCCAAGGCATGCAGTCTCCACTGCTGGCAGTAGGTGGGGGGCGCTCAGGGCGCTCGTGCCTGTCACAGGCACTGGTGCCTGGCAGGACACGGCTCTGGCCAGTGCTGCATGCGGCGGCAAGGAGCGCAGCCTGCCTGGCTGTCTCTATTGCAGGGGCTCTGCACAGCATGCCTACAGACCCTGTACTCACATGGGAGAAGCTCCATGCTGGAGCTAGCTGCCTTCCCTGCTCCCTGCTGCTCAGGTTCCCCATGGAGACTGAGGACCTGCACAGCAGGGGGTGGGGAAGGCAGCTGGCTCCAGCACAGGGCTTCCCCCAGTGCGAGAGCTGCAGGTGTGCTGCACAGAGCCCCCACAACAGAGGTGGGCCAGGCAGGCTGCTCCCCTCGCACCCGTGCAGTGCTGGCTGGAACTGCACCCCACCCCCCCCCCCCCCCCGGCCCCCACCCAGGCACAAGTGTCCTGAGCACCCTGCCTGCTGCTGGCATGGGGGAGTGTGTGTGGGGGGGGTCCCCACACCCCCCATCCTCCCTCACACCCACAGCCTGCCCTGCCAGGTCCACACTGCCGCCATCCCCTTGGGTGCAACTCGCACTGCCACCAGCCCCAGCCTGTGATCCACGCTCCCACCCAGCTGCAGCTCCCCGCACCCCAGCTGCTTCCCTACCTGCTACCTGCAGTGAGCATGACACCAGGGAAGCCAAGCAGGTCCCTGGGCAGCTGCAGCAAGAGCTCAGTCCGGAAGGTGCTGCTGGCCTGGCTGGGCCCTTCTGCCCACAAGAGTGGGAGTGGAAGGGCTGGGTGGAAGGGCTGGGCAGGATACAGTTTGTTGGTGGGTGCCCGTGGGCCAGATGAAAGTGCCTGACAGGCTATATTTTGCCTGCCGCTGGCCTAGTTCCTTCCCCTCCCTGAGCTCTTTGCTATTGCAACAATGCTGGTAGCAGGACTCAGGCTACCTGATTTACAGCCAGGCACATTGGTTGCCTGTAGAGGTGCTGCAAGACTGCTCTGATGATTAATTGAGTGTGTTGGAGTGTGGTAATCACCACTCCAGCCAGCATCCGTATCTTGTATATTAGCATCCCTGTGCTTCAAAATGGCAGCAAAGGCGCTTTAACTAAAGCTCATCAAACAAGTGTAACCCAGGCAGTACTCCAAGAGGTACTCCCTCTCCAATGGAAGGGATCAAAGCAGGTGCACAAGTGCTGTGGGAGGTGTAGGGACTCTCCTCCCCCTATACAGCAGAGCCAGATCACTAATGGGGACTTGCTGCTAGGGGTCTTGACCTTCCTGGATCCCCAGCCTCACATCAAGCTTCCTGATCTCAGATTGGAAGAGCTGGAAGCAGGGCTGGGAACCTCTCAGGTCGCTGCTCAGATCCTTGCTGGAGCTGGGGAGCCTCTCCTGCTGGACGCAGCCTCTCAAAGGTGATCCTGGAGCCCAGTGGGGAGCCTCTCCTACCGGCCACACGGCACGCTGCTGAGGGTCCAACTGCTGCCTGCAGGTCCCACTCCTTCAGGTGCTTCTGGGGCAACTGCTTCCACCCTGCTGGCCCAGCTCTTGCCAGCTCTTTGAAGCACTTTCCTTGTTGTCCCTTGATGGTCTCCCCTGAGTCAGCTGTATCCCCCTCCAGGTGACCCAAGGGGCCAATCAGGGGACACAGAGGGTGAGTCTCTGGGGCCTGATTGGTGAGGAAAGGGAATTCCAAGCCCTCCAACATCTTTTACCCCTTCAAAACCCCTGGCCTAAGTCACTGCCAGCTAGCCCACCACACAAGCTTTAGCTCAAGTGCCCCTGCCACCATTTTGAAGTGTGGGGACAATAATGCACAAGATGCAGTGGTGCTTTA